CCCTCACCGCGGCGGGCTGCGCGCCGTTTTGCAGGCCTTGGCCTTGCCTTGGCTCCTCAGCTGCCGCTGCAGCTGCTGGGTCCGGGCTTGGGTCCGCGGCCTTGTACAGGTGGAGGATGGCGCCCCTGGACTGTGGCTTGTCGCATGATGGGCCCTCGAACTTTTCGAATTCCCCGAGGCGAGCGTGCCAGAGCCTGGAGGGTGGTGGGCAAGTGGGGCGGGGTTGCGCTAGCTGCTGTTCGTACGTGGAGGTCTTGTTTCGAAGATTGGGTGCCCGCGTTGAGTGTTGCCTGAGATTTGGGGATGAGGCTTCTGTAGGCTTGGCGGTTGGGACGCAGGGGTCATATTGGTTGGCAGTTGGCTGGGAAGAGTTCCAGTGTGGGTGCAAGCTGCCGCGAAAGTATTCCGCGAGCGCGAGGGGAGAAGCTTGGGCAGAGAGGCGGGCGGCGACGCCTGGCGAGGCGCGGCGCGGCGCACCTGTCTTCCCGCACGCCTGGCATGGTCTCCAGGAGGCGCGCCCAGTGCGCGGCTGTCGTGACGGCCCCGGAGTCCTGTCCTGGGGCGGCGGCCGGTGCCGCGGCCCGACGCATCACTGGTGCATGGCTGAATGGTGTGCAGCTGGCTGATGACGCCCTGATTTGCTTCTGCGGTGCGATACCGCGAACGAGGTGCATCGCTGTGGGGAGGCGTCGCGTCACTCCCACTAAGTGGCACTCGGTGCGCAGCGGATGCTGCGTAGACAAACAGGTCACTAGGAACAGAGCGCATCTTGAGGACCGATGTATATCCAACGTAAACTCTCCGATGTGCTGAGCCAGCGTGATGCCGAGCGTTGCATTGGTTGCGCGAGTTGTCGCAGGGCTGCTGATCGCGGTGCTGTGGAGCTCGGCGGATCATCTTGCACGGAGATACCTATGGCAGGAAGACGAGGGGCTCACCGTGACCGCTGCCTTCTGTTCGCGGGTGCGCAGACCGTGCGGGCGCGCACGTCACCCGAATTGTGTTGTTGACAGACGGCGGCCGTTTACCACGGTATGCGCACCTCACCCCAAGCCACAGCAGTGGACGTGCCACACCACCCTCCATATACAACCGCAGGGACGTCCGCCATTCATCTGCGCCCACGGCGGCGACGTCACGCGCCACCCGCCCAACACACACCCGGCCATCGCCGCGGCGCCGCGCTTTGGCGCAGACTGTATAGAGCTCGACGCGTCCACCACCGCCGACGGCCGCCTGGTGGCCATGCACGCGCGGGACCTGCGGCGGCTGCTGCCGCGCGCCGCGGCGACGGGCGGCGGCCCGGCCGGGGAGGCGGCAGCAGCGTCCCCAGCAGACCTCCGACTCGAGCAGCTGCTCTCCTTATCATGGCCGGGCGCCGAGCGGCCGCTCGAGCTCGAGGCCGCGCTTGCGGCGGCACTGGCGTCGCGCAGCATCGAGTTAGTCATCCTAGACCTGAAAGATGACGACGCGACATCCGCGGCCGAGCTGCTGCGCACCGCGCAGGCGGCCGGCTGCGGGCACGGGCGGTGCCTAATTTGGGGCAAGTCTGACAGCGCCATGCTGGAAGTGAAACGCCTGGCGCCGCAGCAGGTGCGGCCCCACTGCCAAGGTGCCGCTCGCTCCCCCCACAATCGCGGTGGGGCCTCGAAACATGCAGCTGCGTGCTTCAAGCTCGCCCGGCTGCAACGAGCAGCCTGGCGGCATGCCTCGTCCGCCGCGCTTTCTCAATCAGCAGCTGCAAGCCGTATGACATTCTTGGTTGTACATGCAACGCCATGCAACCGCCTGCAGGCGGCCGGTTACGTGGTTATGGCGCACCCCGGCGCCGCGGCGTCCGCCAGCCGCCCCCTCCCGCCCGCCCCCGAGTACGCGCCCCTCCGGCTTCCAGGCATGGCGGTCGCGGGGGCCTGGCACGGCGTCCTGGACGCCGGGTTGGTGGCGCGGCTGCGGCGTGGGGGGCAGAAGGTCATAGCTTGGACGCTGGAGGACCCTGGGGACCTAGGGAGAGTGCTAGATCTGGGTGCGTCGGCGTCCGGAATGGGAGGCGGATGCCTGGGCGGCACCTGGGCACGGCTGCAGTGCGTGGCAGCTCGGCGGCTGCACAGCGTGCGAGTGCCAGGCCCGTGTGTGCAGGTGAATGCGAAGTAAGGGCCTGCACATAGATTGGCTACGTGCGTGCAACACTGTTTACAGTGCGCTGCGTGCTTGAGCCAACCCTCATGCCTTACCGCACCCGACACTCTTGCCTTAATGCCGTACGTGCAGGCGTGGATGGCGTCGTGGTGAATGACCCGGCGGCAGCAGGCAAGGCCGTGGCAAAACGAGTGCAGGCGTGTATGCGGGCCCGCCTGCTCTGGTGACGCCGCCGCGCGCCAAACGCCTGCCGTGGAGGCCACCGTCAGCCCATCGACGTGCTCGCTGGCAATGATCATCATACGTCGAAGCTCCACCACAAAGGTGAGGCCCTTGCAAAAGCTGGGGTTGCAGTGGCGAAGCAGGAGTCAAAGGTCAAATGAAGCTGGTCACCCAAATTGAGCGTTTCGCGTGTGATGTATGACCGAGAATATAAGCTGGCTGTATTTTTTGAACCTCAACTTGTTCCTACTTTCGTCTCGTCGGCTGCAGCGTCACTGGAACAGTGGCGTTGGGTATTCCTGCGACCTCAGCGTTTTACGTAGGCTGACGTTCAGGTACAGGCGCTTGTTTTGCCAGTGCTAGACATACTGTCGATTCGTGTAGGCAGCAGGTCAAAGCGTGCAGCAGCAGCATCACCAGAAGCAGCAGCAAGAGCACAGCACCAGTGCAGTTGCTGCAGCAGTGGAAATCTACCAGGATCGACGGGGCAGCGGCAATATAGCTTTTATAATTTAGTACCGATCCATCAGACTAGCCCTGCTAAGCTGCACGGCGGGCAGCGCGGAACAGTCGTGGTGTAGCAACCGTTGCAGTGCATGATCGTCGTGCACGTGGCCCACGGTTGTACAAGTGAGCTGCACAAGTCCGTACAATGCACTCTCGTCCCCGCTGCGGTTCGTTGCCCCTCCGGTGCATCGGCAGTGCTTCAGTGCCGGTCAAGCGCTTCAAACTTCGCCGCTGTGTGTTACCTGCCGCCCGACCGCGGCAGAAACGGCAGCGACGACGACGCACCCCGCAATGCATCACACCCAAACCAACCAAACGCGCTCTGACGCCGCCCGCAGGAGGCGTGCCGGAGCGGGCGGCGGCGCGAGAAGGGGCGGGCGCAAGGGCAGGGGCAGCAGCGGGCGGCCCTGGCGAATGCCGCACTTCATCTGCCGCTGGCCCTGCGGGGACGTGCTGCTCGCCAGCGTTGACAGCAGAGAGGACCTTGATGCGATCCTGCAGGTGCGCGCCGCTGCCTGGGCTCAGGATGACCGGCAGCCGTGACTGTCACGACTGATTCGCGGGCGTGCAAGACCCTACATGGCATGAATCCTTCGCCGGCTGAATCCAGGCAGCCATGAGCACGCAGCGGCTCCCTTAAAATGCTGCAAGCGCTGGACCCCCGCCCATCCCGCCGACCGCGCGGCCGCGGCCGCGGCCGTGGCGTCGCCGTCGTGCGGCTGACGTCACCCGGCGTCACCGCGCCCGATGGCCCGCGCAGGAGCGCTCCGAGCCGGGCGTATGCAAGGTCGCGCGGTACCACGGCCCCCTTGTACTGGAGCTGAAGCCGCTGGTCCCTCTAGTGTTCCGCGGCAGCGCCGCCGCGTTCAAGCTGGACCCGCCCTCCCCCGCCTTTGCCCCCGCGTGGCCGCGGCGCGCGCGCGGCGGGGACGTGCGCGTAGTGGCGGCCGACGGCGCGTCGGAGGCGGCGCACAGGGTGGTGCTGCAGTGCCGGCTGCCGGCGCTGCAGAAGGCCAGCTGGGGGGCGGACGTGGACGAGGTGCGTCCGTGGGGGTCTTCGCACCGCACCTCCCTGCCCCGCGCGCGCGAATGCACCTTATGCGCAGCGGGGGTCGCGCACGCGGCAGCCGCGCTCGCAAAGGAGCGGTGTGCGGCTGGCCGGCGGTGCTTGCCTGCGCTCGTTTGCCGCTCTGAGCATCGGGCTGTGAATTTTAAGGCACGGTTTGAGGTTCATGCAATCGCCGCCACGACACCCTCTGCTCAAAACCGACACCAACAGGTTTCTGCCACCCCCTAATCACACACACAAGCACACACACACACACACACACACACACACACACACACACACACACACACACGCATGTGCGCATCTTGCCCAGGTGCGCATCGACGCCCTGGCCGACGGCCCGACCCTCTCGTCGTTCCTCGAGTTCCTCTACAACGACGACCTGGCCCCCTCCCAGATCACCCACGCGCTGCACGTCGCCGCGCTGCGCTGCCACGTGCCGCGCCTCGCCGCCGTCTGCGAGCGGCGCTTCGCCGAGCAGCTAGAAGAGCAGATGGCGCAGTGGGGCGGCCTCGCGCCCACGGGGCAGGCGGCGGCGCTAGACAGCCTGCTCGAGTGGGCGCGGTACGCGGAGGCGCTCGCGCGGACGCAGCTGCTGGACCTTTGTGTGCACCTCGCGGCGCAGCGGCTGCCGGCGGCGCGCACCAGGTGCGCGGCACGAAGTGTGCGGCGGCACCCAGTGCTGCCGTCACCCGGCGGGGGCCCTGGCGACAGCGCCCACCGCGCGGCCCCCGCGGTCGCTGATTCGGCCGCAGCTCCGTACTTTGATGTGCTCCACTTGCCGTCCTGGCGCCCCTTGTCTGGCGCCGCGGCCCCGCCGATCCGTCCACCCACCTGGAAATGCGTCCGCCCCGCAGGCCATCGTGGCAGCAGCTGTCTGCAAAAACGCAGCGGCTGGTGGAGCTCGCGGCAGTGGCGACGTCGCCGCCGCTTGTGCACCGCTCCCTGGAGGCCGACGCACCGCCCGCGGGCGGGGCCGAGGCCGACGGTGGCGGTGGGGGCGTGGGCGGGGGCGGCGACGGCGGAGCGGCGGGCGGGCGGCAGCTGGCGGCGATGAGTATAGAGGCTGAGTCATACGCGCAGGCGGGGGGCCGGATGACGCAGGCGGAGTGGCAGGCGCTCCATACGTACCGGTGGGTGGGTGCGGGCCCTGCCACTTGTTCCAGGTCCAGGCTGGTCCGCGGAAGCTGCGCAGAAACTTCCATCCACGCCGGCGCTTTTGACGCGGGATCGGGCGCATGATTCGTCCGAGCCTTGGGGATGCCGACCGGGCCGCCGACCCCGCCCCGACCCTGCCGCCGCGCCCGTGTGCCTGCCTCCGGCCCCCCTCCGCAGGTCCGCGGTGGCCGAGGCGCAGACGTGCCCCCAGGCGAGCCCGCTGACCATCGCGCCGGCCGAGCTCAAGGCCTGCGGGCTGGCGGCGGAGCAGCAGCAGCGGTTCCCATTCGAAGTCAAGGCGCCGAGCCTCGCGCCGTTCAAACGGCTGATGGACAGCGTCTGCCGCTTCGCCTTTCCCTCGGTGCACGGCGCGCTGGGCGCGCTCAAGCAGGAGCGCGAGCGACGCGGGCGCGGGCGCGGCGGCGGCGACGGGGACGGCGAGGGGGATGGCGGCGACAGCGAGGAGGAAGACGACGGCGGCGTGGAGGCAGCGTTTGTGGGCGCGACGGAGGGGATCCGGATGGTGTTGAGCGGGCGGCTCGGGGCTCCGGCGGCACCGCCGCCGCCGGCTGCGGCGGAGGGCGCTGCGCAGCGCAGCACGAGCGACGGCAGCACCGAGACGGCGGCCCGACCGCTGCAGGCGGCTGCCGCCGCGGCAGCTGCACGCGCGCGCGTGGGGCGGCAGAGGATGGGGGGCGGCGTGGGGAGCTCCGAGGCGTCGAACTCGTCGGCGGCCGTCGTCGGGGACGGCGCGGCGCGGGGCGGCCATTCGCGGCAGCAGCGGAGGCGCCGCAGCAGCGGGGGCGGCAGCGACGGGGAGGAGCACCACTCCCCGCTGCGGCCGGCGCGGCAGCTCCAGCAGCAGGAGCAGCAGCAGCAGCAGCAAGACGGCGATGAGGACATGGAGGAGGAGGGGTGGGCGGCAGCGGCGGGCCCCGAGGCACTGCAGCGCGC